GTGAACTTAGGTAGTTGGATTTTCATGGTCTTCATGATGAATTAATTCAGTAGCTAGTTGTAACATTTCTTCTATGGGGATGTTGGTATACAGGGATTGTATTAACAAAAAATTGAAAACAGAAGCCAACACTATGAATCAGTTTAACTAGTTCATTCATTGCCTGGATGGTAACTCATTCACTGACTTGTTTTTGTTTTATTGGTATGGATTAACAAATGTGCTTAAAGAAATATTTGTTGTGCAGTGTAAATATAAAGATGGAATTGTTTTTGTTTATTTTGTAACTGTCACAATGGTAATTAGAATATTTTTACACCATCCTTGGTTTCTTTACTCAAATATATATATATATAAATTACTAGGTGTAACTGGATAAGTGTACACTATTGTCAGTGTTGATAATGTTTCAACTTAAATGATACAGTGTCCAATCTTAAGGGGAAAAAAGTTCCTCTTGAAATTTTGTAAAGAAGGAAGAAAATTGGCCAAGCTACACATCTTTCAAACTTATTGTTTTTACACTTGTAAAAAATTTTTTAGAAGTGTATTTTAAACAGTAACTCAGCATTATATAATTATTCATCACCTATTATGTCGTGTGTTCCTTGCAGAAACTTTCCACTGCCAGCTAATGTGCTTTTCTTGTGTCTGAATAATTATTGTACAAATTTTTGCTCATAAATACAAATTTAGTTACTCTTTTTCTAGTGTATTTTCATTACAGTTGAATTGTGTGTTTTCTGTTTTAGCTTATATCCTGTGTACATATGTGTATTTGCATATTTGATCAGTAGTGTGTTTGAATTTAATGAACTCTTAAGACAAGAACATAGCATATATAGTAATATAGAAAGAAAGAATTAGTACAAATACATCAGTGGTTTTTTTTTGGTTTTTTTTTGCAGGGAGAGGTTGTGCACAGTTACTGAATTTTAAAATAGAGGTTGTTTGAATTAACAATTTTTATTTTTAGAAACTGTGGCAGTGTATCAATGTCAATATGACCACTGTTACTATGATGACATATATTGTTTTACCACAGATGGCTCAACGGTAAGCTTCATTTTCATGATTTTACTTTCTAAAGATATATGTATTAAGTGAATTATGTTTATACGTGTGGTATGGTATAAAATTTGAGAAAGTTAACCAGTTTCTTATTATTGTACAATTCAGAAAGTATAATATAAAACAAGGGAATCTCAACTATACAAGTTGTAGTAAGAAATTAATTTTTGTTTTTCTTATGTCAAACATGTGTAATAATAAACAGAGCTTTCATAATAGGATACTTAGAAGGTATAGGGTAAAACAAATATACCTCACCAAGATAAGCTGTATTAATAGTTGTATAATGTGTATTTTTTTCTTTCATACCTTTTGTGAGATTAAGATAGATTTTATTCACTGTTAGTGAAGTTCCTCCATTGCAAGAAGTCTTTTTGTGATAACTTTCAAGTCCTTAAAGTTATGGTATCAAGTTTTTTGGAATATAATTTGTTGTTTTGAATTGTGTGTTTTTTATAATGCTTGATTATAGATTTGGTGTTCTCGGCAATGCCACTGGAGAATGCTATGGATATCACTGAAATGTTTAGCTTGTGTTTTTTATAATGCTTGATTATAGATTTGGTGTTCTCGGCAATGCCACTGGAGAATGCTATGGATATCACTGAAATGTTTGTTTAGCTTGTGTTTTTAAGATTAGTGTGTTCAAAGTATTTTTTTTTTTTTAATAAATCATTTTTACTTAATTTCTAAAAGTTTTATTCTAGACAAAAGTTGTTTTTTCTTTTTCCTGGTAAAAGTATTATTTTAGTTCTAAATCAATTATTTTGTGCATTAGAGTGGTGATTAACTTTTTAAGGTACATATTACAGATTTTTTCAGTTTGTGTTTAGCCTATAGATATCTAACTTTTGACTTTGGTTTACTATATTACTTGGTTTGAAGAGCTTCAGTACAAGATGTCATTTGAAACTGTTTTATAAAAATGACAGCTAATTCCATTATGTGGTTCAAAAGTAAGACAAAACTCTTTTAGTGGCAGGTGCTGCTAGCTGGTTACCTACCTTCCTTCTGCTTAATAGTTTGAATCTTGGAGGTCTCAGCTTTCAGCGATGTTGCACCAACAGTTTTGAATAAATATCAGTACCATCACTAATAGATGAAGTGTGTGTGGGATTTGTTGAGTGGCCTGTTGTTACGTTAAGAATTACATTTATTCAAAAAGATGTGGGTTTCAGTTGTTCAAGGAATTTAAAGTTGCTCAGCTCTCATTGGTCAACTATAATTATGTTGTTTGCTATAGACTATTTAATTGTTTGTATCATCAATTGTTTTTAGACAACTTGAGTTTTGTGTTTCGGTAACCTGACACTTTGTGCTTAATTTATTATGTATAACAACATGGCTTTAAAGGAATAATCTGGTTCTAATGGTTAATACATAACATGAAGAGTAATCTAAAATAAATTCCACTGTTAGGAAAAAACAAGTTTATGCGGATTCAGGTTTTGACACTTTTATGTGTCCTTTTCAGTTCAACTTTTGTTCAGAGGATGATCTGCTCTATTGGTTATAAACATGACTGAAGAGGAAACATGAAAGGGTCTATTCTTATATCCATATAAACTTATTGCTCCCTAATAGTGAATCTAAACTTTATTTTTTTTAAATCACTTCGTTCTCTTTTTCCATCATGATTTAAGTACCCCCCCCCCCCCCCCCCCAGTGGCACAGCGGTATGTCTGCAGATTTACAATGGGTTTCGAAACCCGTGGTGGGCAGAGCACAGATAGCCTATTGTGTAGCTTTGTGCTTAATTACAAATAAACAATAAACAATGATTTAAGTAAAAAAAAGGACTTTACATTGCCTTATTGATAATAGTTAGGAAAGCTTAGAGATAAAAACATAAATATTAAAGTTTTTAATAAGTTAGGCATTTTATGTTGTTTGTTTCAAAACTTGTAATACTGTAAGTGTGCATTCTAAATTTTGTGAAAAATACGTTTAATTGACCCTGTGTCTGTGAAGTTATGCATGATAATAATTACTTTAATTCTGAATTTACTATGTGTATCTTCACAGCATTGGACAAACTTTTAATAAACATTACAAGTATATTGTACACAAGATTTTTTTTACTAAAGATTTGTCTGTGAATTTCCAAAGTCTTTACGGAGTCAGTCTGAGTGAAAGGTGATTTTCCTGCTAAGAAGTAAAATTCTTCTTTTCATCTTACAGTTTTCTATTTCATTTGCCTGGATAACCTGTAGAATCTCATTAATGAAAATCAAAGTTTTATTATCTCTTATTTTCTCTATCCTAACATTTAACTGTAGTGAAATTATCATTATACAGTGAAATGAAAAGTTGATAAATATGAAATACAATGAATAATACCATTTTTTTTTACTCTGCACTGACTCAAGTATTGGTCAGAAAGAATCAAATTAATGATGTTATATAACAGCTTCAACTTAAGCTCTTCAAGTTTACAGTTTAATTTTATGATTTTACTGTTGTACTTTGTTGTAATTACTATTAGACTACTGCACGTAAAAAGAAACAAATGACAGTCCTAATGGACTAGCTGTTTCCTGTAGAGCTA